TTCCTGAAATGTTTCCATATTACATAAACATAATGGCCATTAGTAGTGGAAAATATTTTACTGTTTCTATGAAGAGGTTTACAAAATATAAGCTGTCAGAAGATGAAGCAAGTAAACGTATATCTTACGATGTACGGAAATACACAGTTATATGTAACACGACTACATGCACAAAGAGAGGGGAGACACGTGCTACACAGGGACGTAGCAAACTAGAACAAAGAAGATGACCTTTGACCAAAGCATGTGACACTAGCCAACTAGCGCCGTCTAGTACAAAACATGTCTTCTTAACCTAGCACACAGGGATTACATATTTGCTTTCTTTCACTCCCTCTATCACTGTGTGCTACATACATAACAAAGATAAACTACTTTAATTTAATCTTAACATTTTTACGAATTTATCAAATTTAGTTCCTGTTAGCGATTTCGTTACTCATATCCCTTTTTCATGGCGGTTGGTCATGCCTCTCTATCGTCTCGATTTAACACTTCAGATACGTGTTCAGGGTCTGGAATTTTGTCTTTAACAACTTGATAAACTTTTCTCGGTCTTCCGCGTTCTCCAGTTCTCTGAATTTTTGGACGACCTCGTTTTCGTTGGCCCATGCGACTTTCCTCTAGAATTTCTCGTCGTTCTTCTTCTGGATATTCGTCCACATTAGATTCATTATCGGACTCTTCATCTAGTTTTGTATCGTCCTCATTGTTCATCTCTGTCGTCTGACTTAGCGGCATTATATACATGTCTTTTGGTGTTTCATCAGCAAAATCTGGCTCAGTGGAGATACTCTTCAGAAAAGTGTTACTTGTGTGGATTGTTTCAACAAATCTCACGTCACGTGCTATGATGACAGTCTTAGTGCCTGGTTTCCAGAGTCGATACGCTTTTGACTCATTCGAGTATCCCACCAACACGTACTCATCACCTTTCGGATAAAATTTTCCTCGTTTTCGAGTCTTGTCCAGCACTATAGATTTACTTCCGATAATTTTAAAGAAACCAACATAAGGTTTACGCTTGAACCATAGCTCATTCGGTGTTTTTCCATCGAGGGCTTTTGTTGCACTTCTATTTCGTAGAAATGTGGCAGTATTAATTGCTTCTGCCCATAGTGACTGAGGTAGACTTGCTTGCAACATTATACACCTTGCCATTTCGACAAGTGTTCGATTTGCACGTTCCGCTACACCATTTTGTTGTGGGGTGTATTGGACACTTAGTTGTCGTACGATTCCTTCTTCTTCGAGAAAGTTGTTAAATTCGTTCGATAAATATTCTCTACCGTTATCCGTACGTAGCTTTTTGATTCGATGACCTGTTTGTTTTTCGACTCTTTGCTTATAAGATTTAAACGCTTTGAAAATGTCTGAGCGACTTTTTAGCATTACAGTTTCCATATAGCGTGTACAGTCATCAATAAACGTTGCAAAGTATCTTGCACCTCCTAATGAGACGGTTTTCATCGGGCCACATATATCGGAATGCACTAAACCCAAAATCTCTTTCTCTCGATGATGCGACTTCTTAAATGGTTGAACATGTATTTTAGATCTAAGGCATATTTCACAGTTTAATTCTCTTGCTTTCGTTGAAAGGTCCATACCTTCGACTAGTTGTTCCATTTTCATTTTTCTTAGGTCGTTAATGTTTATGTGCCCATATCTTTGGTGCCACTTTAATAGGTTTTCGTCAGCAGTTTCTGCCGATAACATCGTTTGGTCTTCCAATTCATTGACAACATATAGATTATCACGTTTCGTAGCTGTTAACATCGTAGTACCATCTTTACGTTTGATGATTGCATAATTTTCCTTAAATACAACAATGTATCCTTTGTCAGTGACACTTGCTACCGATAAAAGGTTGTGGCGCAATTCCGGTACATATAATACGTTTTGTAGTTTTACGGAACTTATTGCTCGTTGATTTATTTTCAAGCTGAGATTCACATCACCTATACCAACTGCTTGCACATAATTCTCTGTGGCAGTATAAACTTTAGACTGTTTAATTTGATCTAGAGTTAAGAATTTGTATTGGTCGTTACACATATGTCTTGTCGCACCACTGTCTAAATACCACTTTTTCGATCCGTTTGTGAATTCCACGTTGCATGCGATTGTAGTAAGAGCACCACTAGTAACTTTCACATCTGTGTGTTTTGTTTTCGATCTACAATTTTTACTGATATGTCCAGTTTTACCGCAGCTGTAGCATCTTCCGTCGAATCTTTGGCTTCTAAATCTTGTATTATTTTCCCTCGAGTTCGTTCGTGACTGCTTTACACGGTCGGACTTTCCCTTTGAAAGCAATGCGTCACTTCTCTCGTTCTCAGTTAGCTTCGTAACACGCTCCCTCTGTCTTGCTTCCTCCTCCTTTAATTTCGCTTTGAGGTTTTCGAGCGACGGTATGTCATCACGTGACTCGATGGCTACGCTAAAATTTTCATATTCATCTGGCAGTGATCCGAGAAGCATAATCGATAGTAATTCTTCTGGGATTTCTATTCCAGCTTCCTTCAGTTGATCAGCTTTACTCGTAAACTCGTTTACGTACTGCGTAATCGTCACATTCTGTCCTTTTTCCATTCGTAGTAACTGTTTGTACAACGTTGCCTTTCTAACAGGACCCCGTGACTGGAATATTGCCTTAAGTCCGTCCCACGCTTCTTTAGACGTTTCGGCGTTTCTCACGTGGTTCAACTGCCCAAGACAAAGGCTTAGATTTATCAGCGCCAATGCCTTTGCGTCTTGCTTGATCCATTCCTCTGGATTTCTTTCTGGTTTTATTTCAGTACCGTCAACGTATTTCCACAGGTCATTATATACGAGAACGCTTCTCATCTGTATTTTCCAAAGTTCGTAATTGTCCTCGTTCAACTTCTCAATATTTGAAAATCCACTAGGACCCGCCATATCGAATTAGATAATAGATCCGTTTACTTACTTCTTATATTAAATATTCTTTCCTTGTAAGCAGTCCTGGGCCCATAACCTGTCAGAAGATGAAGCAAGTAAACGTATATCTTACGATGTACGGAAATACACAGTTATATGTAACACGACTACATGCACAAAGAGAGGGGAGACACGTGCTACACAGGGACGTAGCAAACTAGAACAAAGAAGATGACCTTTGACCAAAGCATGTGACACTAGCCAACTAGCGCCGTCTAGTACAAAACATGTCTTCTTAACCTAGCACACAGGGATTACATATTTGCTTTCTTTCATAAGCTATCGAAAATTACAGACATTACCGAAAACGCTGTAATTTTTATTCTTTCAATTATCATTCAGCATTGCTAACGTTCCCAGAAAAAATACTGATTGGTCTAAAAAGCTCAAATTTTATAATTAATTTTTTTTGTTATCAGAGAGATTTTTTTACATGTCAGATATTTTTGTTTGGATTTTGATATTTTTTACACGTCACAAAATTTCGAAGTTTTATATTTTAAAGTGATGTTTGTGAATTAGAAAAACTACATAAATTTATATTCTCGAACATTAAATTCACGGAAGAAAACCCTTTGACCGTAAAAATCTTTAAATCCTTTTACTATTCACAAATATATATATCGGTTAGTGCTATAGCAGTGAGTGTACTTGTATTTGATAATTTTTTCCGAAAAAAGGACCTTAATAAAAATTTTGATTTGTTCATTCGAAGAAAAACTAAATTATTGAAATTTTGAAAAATAACTGACATAAATTTTAATTGACGTCTGTTTCTCTGTCTGTTTCTCCTTAATCTCTAGAACGGAGTTATAATAGATAGATGAAAGTAAAGATTAGATATGGAAAGCAGGAAACTTCCATTAAGTGTATACGAACTCGTTAACAGAAAATGCGTGATGTACAGAGGCAAGTAACTATTAAAATTGAAAGCATTGTGACGAAAAACTGCAGATCGTCATTGTGACAATGTAAACAATAATTAATTGTTAGTTTCATATTTTTCTTATTTAACTTCTTTTTAAACGCGTGGTTTATATATTTATTTATAGTGTGCAGCTAACATTCTAGTTTTGTATTATTCAGTAAGAGTTTCTTTTTCATTTTCATCATTTAATAGTATATTTTATTCCGATTTTTTAGCTTACATACATTTTTTTTTTAAATTTTATATAGTTTTAAAAGAATTTTAATTCTTTTTGTCATCTTCAAACATTCTTTTATCTATATCTATTCATTTCATTTAACAATTGACGTTCATTAAATATTTTCATACGTTCTCTTATTTCCCTTTTTACTCAGATATCGGAAATATCTAACAATTCAATTGTCACCCGTTTAAATGTATCACATCTATTTTCTAACGTTCATGTAATGTTATGTTCATTGCAATTATACGTATGTTTAAATTAGAAACCTAAAACTTATATTTTCAACTAGATTGATAAACAATAAAAGGAACTGGTGAGGAACATAGAATGCAAAATGCATAATCTTCATAATAAACGAAGCCTGTCTAATCTACCTTTGTAGTGTTCCTGTTTGATTAATTCAATTCGGGATTTTTTTTACTTATTTCTGACAAAAACTCAACCTCAGTTGTCAACTATAAAAGTGAGTTTTAAGGTAGTAGAAAAAATTTAAACGAATTATGAGAGAAATTCATATCTCGTTTTATTCTGAGCGTATAACGTTTAAAATTTCATTATATATTGGAATTTTCAATAACAGATACTTTTAAAAAAACGTTTGTTTTATGTCTTTATCATTTGCCATTGTACAGATATCTCATTGTAGTCAGTAAATAAAATTATTTTTTAATTATTTAAACTATATTTTAAACAATTTTGAAAGTAGTTTCAATCCAGATAATATTTAATTTAAAAAATTGAGCATACGCAAATTTGCATAATAAAGAAAAATTTATCCGTGAGATCTGTTGGTATATTTTATTAAGATTTTCAGAATCAGACAATTCTAGTGTAATTCAGATTCTATATTATAATTTGTAGAATAAATAAACAAGACGAAATAAATTTGCAAGAAAATACATTTTATTTAATTCACATCAAGAAAAAGAAAACAGTTTATTTGTATTCAGATTTTACTTCTGTTTCGGGAAACCTAAAATAACAGAAATAAAAATGTGTTATTTATACACCTGTATACAAATAAAATACTTTTAATTAAATTATGTAATTCCATATTAAGTTTAATGAAATACTGTAATTTCACATTTATAATAATTTAATATGTTGTATTCGGTAATCAATTATCATATAAAAATTTCATGAAACGATTAACACGGTACATAAAAATAAGTTTTTTTTATAAGAAAGTTTTCTTACCATGGTCTCATTTTCTTCCTTGTTTAGGTTGTTGTTGTTGTTGTTGCTGTAATATATAATTCAACGTAAGATTATTTTACGTATATAATATATTTTTTTATTCAAAATACTTCATAATTTGTTAATAAAGGTTTACTCATTGAAATTTCAATGAGAAAAATATCGAAGTAATTAAGGATAAAGCATAAACATTTTATAAGTATACCACTACTCTTAGAAATAGAAATTGATTGTGAATAAGAAAAGAAATGCTTAATCAGAATTATGTCTAAACGCTGACGAGTTGTTCAAACTAAAAATACTTCAAACTTAATCACATATCATATTGACAAAACTATGAATTCAAAATAATTAGCAAAAAGTTAATAAAATAATAAAATATCTTAACACTGGAGCCAAGGAAGATCGTTCGATAAACGCTATTGATCAAAAATTCGATCTGTAGTTTTATTTCACGATTTCTACACAGACATTTGGTAAGCCAAATGCATTTGGCTTACCAAATGTCCAATCGAAATCCAATCACAGTTCTGAATATGAGGATTACATTTCCTGAAAAACTTAGTACCCAAACTAACTACTATGGCATTTATGGGGAAAAAAGTCGTATGATATGAATTTTTTGCAAATTTTGGTTGTGATGATTCATAAATTTGCGAGACTACATGCCAGATGTAAAATGATGACTTGTAGCCTAAATAAAGAAAAAAAAACAAAAGAAACGCCAGCCTTGTCAATTGGATGCACATTTGGATTGTCGATAGACCACTTGCCAGATGGTGGACTACTGGCCATAAACAAGTGGGTCGAATATCAGAAGACGTAAATGTAAGCTGCACTCTTATCGGAAAAATCGGACTAGGGTGAAAGCTGTTCGCGCAACGAAGGTTTCTGATTGGTCGGACGATTCCGTCCAAAAAATCTTTCAGTTGCGGAGCGAACGGGAGAGGGGATAGAAGGGCAAGAGTCTGGTAACACGAAAGTCTTAAACACTTGGGAAGCCCGTTAAGTGTAGAGAAAGCATTTTCCTCTGATAACTATTTCAGGGATAAGTAAGTGCGGAGACTGGATGAACCGTGCAGTTGAGTCACTTCACAGGATGACTAAGGTCCTCCAGAGTTTAATAGTTCCTGGAAACCAATCTAGTACGTGAGAATGACGCTTTGTGTATCCTGTATTTACTGTGTTTTTCAACTTGTATATTATATATGTATATAATATATATACACACACGTAGGCCTCCTACAACGCGGTAGATACGTTTCTTGAAAATACCGCGTATTGGGAAATCGCGTTATAGGAGACACCAGCTTAATACAAAAACAGGGATTCGGTTCTAAAAAAAATCGGTTTTTGAATGGCGTTTTTTGAATTTTTTTAACCAGCCATTGCTAGCCACGAATTTAACGCTGATTTCATCAACTGACGACTGTCCCATTTGTTTTAAATAATTAAATATTTTTAAGGCTTTGTGTTTAAGTGCAGTTTTATTTAAAGGCAACAGTTTCATGTTCGTATCTTCTACCCATAATATTAGCGCTTGTTCCATTTTTTTTTTCATTATGCTCTGGGACGAGCAACATTTCTCGCAAGAACAGATGATCCGGATGCGACCAAATTCCTAATATTTTCTCTGGATTGCTTAATCGATCGAACAGTCGACTCACTCAAATTAAAACGCCTACCAATGTTAACTATCCGCTCTTGATTTTTAATTCGTTCCAAAATTTCTATCTTTGTTTGAAAAGTTATAAATTTTCTTTTTAACGACGGTCCTTTTTTTTCATTCGACATTGTTATGGCTAAAATTTTTTCAATAAGTTTTGTGGACAGTAAAAATTGCAAAAAATAACTTCCCTTCACTATGTTAAAAACATACACCCAATAGAGGTTTATACTGTATTTTGGACTATTTTTGCGGTCACAAATTATTGAAAGAATATAAATGATCGAAAATTTACTGATATATTTGAGAGTTTACGGCAACTGATGCACTCTGTGTAGAAACTGGTCTTCCCTGAAACATTGAAGGGAATAACACGCCATCTTCGACAAACAGCTGTTTTCAAGGACATGTAGCTCTGTATACCGAAATGCGGCTCGTATCACGTGATCCGATGCGAATTTTCTGTTATGAAAAAGATAATTCGTTTCTGAATATCGTAAAAGTTCCGCGTTGTAAGAAAATTTCCGCATTTTTCCATCCGCGTTAGAGCGAAAACGCGTTGTAAATATACTGCGTTGTAGGAGGAGGCCTACCTATATATATTGTAAATAAATTGTAAATATTGTCTATCTTGAGTATGGAGGTGTGCTTTCAACAAACTGGATCAACTATTCGAATCGTGATAAATACGGCAAACCAACTCAACAAGACGAAGTTTGGAGAAGAAATTTACTTTCTTAAATCATTTAATAATTTCAAGAGCAGAAAATAAACGCTCTACTATAACTTAATTTGAGAGCAATGCTGCGACGAGCAATGCTGCGACAGTCAATGCTGCACATTGGATAATGTCTAGATAGTGCACCATCGCCTTTTTCACATCCAAATTTTAAAAAGATTCAAAGTGATTTAATGACTTCCATTTTTATGAAGTTATCTACCAAGTATCTGTTTCACATAAACACTTTCGAAAATTCATTTTTAAGTGTTATTGGTATTAAGTAATAATATAAAAGTATTACATTAGTGGTGTAGAGAAACTCCTATTAATGCTAGCGCATGCTGTTATAACTTTTCTAGCTTAAATCTATTGATAAAAAACGGTAGACATCTAACATATGTTTAACAATAAACAGCATTTATAATATTTTGCAAAATATTTTGTAGAGTACTTCAAGGAGTAAACACGAAAACACTGAAAAACAAACGCATAACTCGCAACAATTATACTGCTTAAAAGCATATAACGAATATAGATGATAAGTTCTTCATTTCTCTTAAAAACCATAACATTTTTTACAAAATTATTTTATGTTTGCAGTTTTATTGTCATTTTTTATACAATTAAAATTAAATTTATATAAAAATTAACATTTATTATTAAATTAACTTACCCGGTTCGACAACTAGATGTTGAATATAATAATATATCAATTTATATTTTAAAAGTTTAATTTAAAGTGTACATTTTTCTAGTATAATCAACATTTAATTAAAAAAAATTTTTAACAAAACACAATAAAGATAAAAATAATTTGTTTATGGTGTGAAAAAAAACTAGTATTAACGCTCTTGCGTGGTATCTGACGTATTCTAAATTTGTTGATTAGAAACAGAAAACATTTAACGTGTTTTATAATAATATAAAGCACGCTTTTGAGTGCAAAATACTTTGAAGAGTATGCAAAGGAAAAAATACGAAAACAATAAATAGCAAACGTGTAACTCATTACAATTATAATGTTTGAAGACAATTAACGAAAATAGATATTAAGTTTTTCATTTTTTATCAAGTCAAATACATTCCTACAAACATATTTAGTATTTACTGTTTTATAATTATTTCTTTTTAAAAATAAATATTAATCTCACATAAAAAATAGACTATTACTATTAAATTAACTTACCCCACTAAGTAACTATATAATCAATGTAACAATATTTTAGTTTATATCTTCGAAATTAAATTTATATTGTAAATTTGTTTAATATAATTAATAAATAATTTTAAAAACACATTTTAATTTATATATAATTTAAATATTATCAAGTAACGTTGAACTTCAAATATGCTTATTAATCCTCATGAAATATGTGAATATGTGCAAGAACGAAAACAAAAGTAATTATCTAATGAAAAAATGTAATTATAATTATATTTATAAAATTAAAAAACTGTAAAATATATGCATTTTTCTTTTAAACTTGTATTTAATAGGTTCTATAAAACAAATTGAATAAAACACCTAGAAACAGAATCGTAAAATCAATTTCAGAATATTTATCAATTGTTAAAATATAAAATATTTTAATTATTTGAAATAACCAGTTTTATCATAATTTCGTTTGTTTATAATAAAAAGGTTTAAGAATTTTGCACATTTTTTTACAAATTATCAATTTTTTTTTATTTTGTTTGAAATACAGGCAAATTTTAAATTATTATTGTAGGTGCACTGTACATTGTACTTTGATGTTAAACGTAATTGATATTTCTAATAAACATCTGTGCGTTAAAAAATGTACATGTTTTCATATTTCTGAATCTCTCAGTTATTTGACTTCACATCTCTGTATAATAAAAGCCAAGCCAAAAGGTTTAAGAATTTTGCACATTTTTTTACAAATTATCAATTTTTTTTTATTTTGTTTGAAATACAGGCAAATTTTAAATTATTATTGTAGGTGCACTGTACATTGTACTTTGATGTTAAACGTAATTGATATTTCTAATAAACATCTGTGCGTTAAAAAATGTACATGTTTTCATATTTCTGAATCTCTCAGTTATTTGACTTCACATCTCTGTATAATAAAAGCCAAGCCAAGATTAAAGTTAATAAACATTTCTCAACAACAAAAAGTGCATTAGTAGTTTATTCAACCTATATTTTATATTATATTTTTGAGGTGAAACATCAGCGACGCCGCTTCTATGAAGTGCACAGAGTTCTGTTATCAAAAATCCGTTCAATCTATTTTTATTACTATTTGCCATTTTCCATTGACTACCACAAGAAATCAGAAAATTAAATAAAAATGCGAAATAAATATTTTGTCTTCGAGATGTAAGATCGTTTTTCGAGCGCAAGAGACTAAACTATCACAGGAATCGCGCGACTTCGTTATACGATGATTTTCGGTCGCTAGCCTGTCTACCATGAATTTTCCTGTGAAATTCGGATCGTTGTCAAAATTTAACGCGTCGAGTTTAAACTTTACCATTTTTAGTAATTGCAACGAGTAATCCAAAAATGTAAGAAGAATCCGTGCAAATGTAAAAAAAATACGGTCCAAAATTTCGCCTTCGACATACGAAGGTACTATGGAATTTCGATAAGGAAGAGCATTGTGTGTGCATTACGAAAAATATGCACGTAAAGCAAACGATACACAAAAACAAAGCAATCGATGTCGATTGCTGTGTTCTTAGATCGCCTCTTCTGCTCCTAACAATCGCAGGGATCACTTCTTTCTTTTCGGCTCACCCTCAATTCTATCGCGATTCCACGAAGTCGCGCGACGCCCTAGTATTATAATTAAAAAATAAATAATGCTTATATAAATGTTTAAATAAATTACACATACCCCACTGAATGCCTAGAATAAAAGTAATATAGTTACTTATATTTTATGATGAATTGTTAATATAAAAAATCCAATATTAATACAAGTAATCTTTATCTTATTTAAACTTAGTATATTTATAAAATGTCCGTTATGTTCTTCAAATTATAAAATTTTAACTTAAACGAAAAATATAAACCTGATTAACGATTATCATTCAGTACAAAAGTAATATTAGAATGAATCTTGGTATTCATTATAAAATTGCATTAAATAAACTGCATGTCGTATTGCTTTTAAATTATTGTCGTGAGAAGAAACAACGAATGAGTTCGACTGAAGATTGATGGCCAAGTTGAAAAAACAGATCTTTCTAGCATCAACAAAGTAAAGGCAAAAATAAAAAGCATAAACAATACAATACGCAGGAGTATGTGTATAAAGCAATAACTGTAAAAACAATAGTCTATGTAATAAGTTATAGCATTACGACTAGTAAGCCCTTTAAGACAACCAAAATTATTCTTTTAATCACTATATCAGTGTATTTCTATTAATAGGACTTATCATACTGGTGTATAAGATTGCAGCCTCACAGTTACACTGATTAAAATTGTTTTATTTTCAATTTTAATCAGTTAATCATTAAAATTGTTTTATTTTCAATTACCTGTAATTGAAAATAAAACAATTTTAATCAGTGTAACTGTGAGGCTGCAATCTTATACACCAGTATGATAAGTCCTATTAATAGAAATACACTGATATAGTGATTAAAAGAATAATTTTGATTAAATTAAGGACATAGATGCATATTAATTAACCTTTAAGACAACGTTTTGTTTTAAAAATAATTTAATGCTTTATATACATTAATATCATACATGTTTGCAGATATGTTAATTAATCTTTTCCATTCGAGCTACCTAAAAATATTAATATGAGGTTATCTTTCATTATGAAATAGTGCATTATAATCTTTTATTATATAGATCTTTCATAAATGTGTATGACATTTAGAAATCCTTTCAACACTATATGTTTACAAATAAATGCAATAACTTACTGAAATCTAAAGTTACAAACACTTTACATATCATTAAAACTGATGTTTTTTTCGCGAAGACATCCAGCGAAGAATTAAATCATGGTTAAAACATATGTATAATTTTTCGACAATACATTGAATAATTCATTTAATCTAAGTTTATAATACATTATTACGCGTGATAAAAGTAAATAATAAATCTAGGAATTTTTCTATTATAGAAGAAATTACAAAAATAATTACCTGAAAATTTTGTTTGAAAAACTCTCAATAATTTCGTGTATTTATAATTTCAACAATTCAAAAATTTAATGTTTACAAATTATTAATGAAAATCATAAGAACATTATCTGATATGTGTAACAGTCACTTTATTTCAAATTAATTTTAGTTATTTTTTTGTCATTCTACCGTTAATTTTTTCTACCCACAATGAAAATAAAGGGCTCATGAGAATTGAAAGAATATTGTTAGATATATGAACAGGTCAACAACCAAACTAACATTTCTCACAGTGTTTTCAATGATGTGTTTTTTGATGGAGTCAGTCATCTCCCAAGCATCATTTAAATAACAAACATGTAAGCATTCGATATTCTCATTTTCTCCGTGTTATTTGTACTAATTAATAATACAAAAGTGTTACATTAATTGTGTAGAGAAACTTGTATTAACTGAAGCTCATGCTTTCATGACCTTTTTAGTTCAAATCTGTTGATTAAAAACAATAGAAATTTAACGTATGTTTAACAATAAACAACACTTCTGTGTGCAAAATAATTTGTATAGTACTTGAAGGAGTAAACACGAAAACAATGGAAAACAAACACGTAACTCACAACAATTATACTATTTAATAACAATTAACGAAAACATATTCTATGTTTTTCATTTCTGATCAGGACAAATACATTTCGACAAACGGACTTATCATTTACAAAAGTTATTATTCTTTTCAATAAAACTATTTATTAAATTCACATACAAATGAAGTTAAGCGAGTAGCTGCCTAAATTAATATAATGACATGTAAGTTAATATTTCGAAGTTGACTTTATATTATGCGTTGTATGGTATGTTAAAATAATAAATGAGAATTTAATTTAAAAACACGTAAATTTACTGCAATTCTAAGTTTTTATAATTGAGTTTAAACGTAGGGGAGAGCAGGGCTAAAAGTTCCCGTGGTAAGTTGTTCCGATTGAAATAGCTTCATAAGGAAAAATAATAATAATAATTAGTAAATACGTCATGAAATCGAATGTTTCTGCGCATCGACGGCAGCCATCTTAGTTAGGCCAGTAACGTCCAGTACATTGGAAAAGGAGCCTGTACGTCGCTGATCCACGTAAGTAAATATTTTCGTGTTTGATATTTTTGGTATATCTGGCGAATTTAAATAATTAGCGATTAGTTGTTTGGTATTTTTATTCAAAAATATATATGGTATCTTGATATAAACGCTAAAACCGTGTATGTCTCGTAACCTAATCTAGTAGTTGCTGTTTTGAACCCATGTGTTATTGGGGCTAGATGTTCCCTTCTTTGGGGGTATGTTGTGACCTTGGAACAACTTGCCCCAGTTCATCTGTACTGGCAATGCAGTAAAAATACAGTAATATTTTTTTTTTCCTTTTACAGTATGCGGACTTATATTCGAAAAACAACACGAGGTTCTGTATCTCAGGAGTTGATGCAAAGAGCTGCAGATGCAGTTATTAAAGATGGTAAAAAAATAAAAACTGTTGCCAGAGAATTAGATATTTGTCATATGACGTTATACAGATTTGTAAAGAAGTTGAAATCTGGAGTAGAAAACGCTGTGGTTGGCTACAAAAAAGTAAGATTGGTCTTTAGTGAAGAACAGGAAAACAAGTTAGCAGAATATTTGTTAAAATGTGCAACAATTTTCTTTGGTCTTCTACCA